ATGCAAGAGCTTGGAAGGCACAAAAGTGTCGCGTTCAAAGACTTGTGTATCTTTCCAAATGTCACCTTCCAACGAGATTCAAAACCCCTATGTTTGATAAGTATGACGGGCACGATGATCCCATAGCTCACCTCGAGAGATACAACAATCAACTTAGGGGTGCAGGGGTAAAGAAAAACTACTCATGGCTTACTTTGATGAGAGTCTGACTGGTGTTGCCTCAGAGTTGTTCATAGACCAAGAGATCTCCCACTGACATATCTGGGATGATATGGCTCAATATTTTGTTAGACAATTTCAATACAATGTGGACATTTCACAAGATCGCAATACACTCTCTAATATGAGAAAAAAGCCACATGAAAGCTTTAGAGAATGTGCTATCAAATGGAGAGAACAAGCAGCCCAAGTCAAATCACCATTAGATGATGAAGAATTGGTTGACATCTTCATAGAGGCTCAAGATCTTGATTACATCACCCACCTGACAGCCGAAATGGGAAGACTGTTTCACACAATAATCTAAATTGGAGAAATGGTCGAAAGTGATCTCAAAACAAGAAGGATCTTGAGCCAGGCAGTAGTCTAAGCTACCACAAAAGCCATTCAGGGTGGTTTAGGCAGTTTTGGGAATCATAAAAATGAAAAATGATGTTTCTTCGCTAGCGTCAGGGTCAAGGGGTGCTCAAATGAAGTCTGATTGTCCTTACCCGCCAATTCTGGGACAATCTAGCTATCCTCAACATTACTATCCTTTGGTCCCTCAATATTCAGTATGTACATCTCCATACACAGTCTTCAATGCTCAGCCATATGTGCGTCATTCAAATCGCCCCCATTTTTGGGCCCCAAATCAAGGAAACCTCTGGCCACAATGGCCACCTTATCAGGTCCCTCACAACCCTCCTCCTACGCAAAATTATGCTCAAGATCAGGGACAGAAAAGGAAATTCACTCCATTGGGAGAGTCATACTCCATCTTGTTTCTAAAGTTAAGAATGATAGAACTAATTGAGTCTATCCCACAACATCATCTGTATCCAAATGCTCTAGGTTTCCAGGCTAATGAAAGATGTGAGTATCATTCAGGGCCCCATGACACAACATTAATAATTGTTGGACCTTGAACGGGGAGATTGAGAAGCTAATCGATCATGTAGTGGTCGTTGTGACGGATGATCAAAACACTCCTAATGTAACTAATAACCCACTTCTAGCTTAAAACAATTTAGTGGGTATGATCTGTGATGATCAAGAGTATAAAATCCTTGGCAAAATGGGGAAGTTATTTAGGAAGATCGTAGAGGAAGATATGTCGATAAAGAGTTCAAAACCAGTCGCTTCTTTGAGTGTGGAAGGTGTCAATCTTGATACCAAAGTTTTGTGTGTCCTTGGAGTTTCAAAGAGGCTTGAAGTTCGATCAGGTATGCCGATGTTGTACGTATCTAAAGGCTTCTCATTAACACAATAGGACCAAAGTTACTTGGCGAAATTGAAAGAGCCTATCTTGGTTAAACCCGTCCAGCAGCTCCCTGTAACTGATCCAAAGGTTGTTCCTTGGAACTACTATAAGATTTCTGTGCTTTATCGACGAAAGGAGATTGTTGAAGAAGCTGATGAAGCAAGAGGGTTGACACTTTCTGGAAGATCTTATTCTACAAAAGAGTTAAAGAAAGGGAAAATGGCCCATGATATCCAAGTACTACTGAAGAAGGTTGTTATTGAGGATTAAGCAAAAGAGTTTCTAAAAAGATTAAGGTTCCAGATTACTCTGTTGTGGAACAATTGAAGAAAACCCCTACACAAATTTCACTGTTGTCTCTACTCTTGCACTTAGAAGATCATCGTTGTGTGTTTACTAAGATTATGAATGAAGCACATGTATTGAATGAGACCACGGTAAATCAGTTAGAGAAAATGGCCAACCGCATCTTTGAGTCGAGCACCATCACTTTCACTGATGATGAGTTGCCCACAGAAAGAGATGGATACAACAGAGCTTTGCATCTTACAGTGAAATGTGAATGGCAATATGTAAAGAGGGTTATGATAGATGGAGGATCAAAGGTAGACATATGTCCTCTCTCTACACAGTAAAGATTAAAAATTAACCTTGATAGAATTTTCCCCAACGATGTGTGTGTTCAAGCTTATGACGGATCAAGGCGGGATGCCTTTGGTGAAATCAATTTAAACATGACAATTAGACCGGTGGACTTTATGATTGTGTTTCAAGTAATGGACATGGAGACGTCTTATAATTTTCTGTTGGGAAGGCCATGGATCCACATGGCTCAGGCAGTCCCATGAACTCTGCATCATGTTGTTAAGTTTGAATACGACCATCAAGAAATCATTGTGCATGGTGAAAATGATTTATCCATTTAGAGAGATCTATCGTTTCCGTACATCGAGGCAAAATAAGGATGTTCTTTCATTGTATACCAGTCTTTTGATGTCGTATTAGTCGAGCGATTCAAAGAAGGAAACCCCATCGTCGAACCATGTCTCTCTTCTTCCTCTTTAATGGTAGCAACGACAATGCTCAAATATGATTATCAACCTGGTAAAGTATTGGGACTGTGTTCGCAAGGAATCGTGGATCCCATTACTCTTTTTAGGAAACTAAGGCACCTCTGGCCTCGATACAAACAAATCAAGAGAAATGGATATAAGGCTAAGAACCACAAAAGGACTGATTGGGCGCTCCCACAACTGATTCCCCATATGTTTCATTCCTTTATCAAGCCTCAGGGTCCAGAAATGGAAGCTTCCCTTACTTATGAAGACATTGAAGAAGTTATTCAGGGTCTCAACCAATTGTTTTGTGAAGTAAACATGGTCCAAGTTGGTGAAGGTACAAGTCATGCCAATGTGCAAATCGTGGGCTTAGGTGTTGAGATAAACAATTGGGAAGCCACATTCCCCACAAGGAATGAGTCTTGGTAGTTTGTGTTGCTACTCTTTTGTATTTTGTTGTTGTCAGGGTTGTGATACGAAAATTTTAAAGTGTTTTATATTATGTCAACCCTTCTATCCCTTTTCAATTTCAATGAAACAAAATTTTAGTTTCATAAAAATTTTTGTCCTCCCTCCCTAATTCTTATTCTTCATTTGTCTGTTCTATAAATGTTGTCTTTGATATCATGACATGCATGCAGAGTTCACTCCCAGATCTCAAAGAGTTGTTTATTCTGGAATTGCCGAGTTAAGAGGTTGAATATGATGAAGAAGAGGCTTTTAGGGAAATTAATAGGGAACTTGAACAGTTTTTGAGCACAAACCTAAGCCTAATATTAGTAAAACAAAGGCAATCAATTTGGGAAATACTGAGTAAGTCAAAGAATTTAAAATAAATCTTCATGTCAAGCAGGAAATTAAGGATGCCATAATACAACTTTTGTTTGAATACAAAGATGTGTTTGTTTTGTCCTATGATGACATGCCATGTTAGAATGTTGATTTAGTGGTTCATAAGTTGCCCACCCATCCTAATTTTCTACCCGTCCAACAGAACAGAAGAAAATTCAAACCGGACATGAGTGAAGAAATCAAGGATGAAATCATGAAACAACTAAATGCAAATGTGATCCAAGCCATTCTTTACACTACTTGGTTGGAAAATGTTGTTCCTGTGCTGAAAAAATGATGGAAAGACAAGAATTTGTGTTGACTATAGGGATTTGAACAAAGCTAGTACAAAAGACCAGTTTCACTTGCCCAATATCCACATTCTAGTTGATAATTGTGCCAAACACGAAATCTTATCTTTTGTGGACTGCTATGCAGGGTATCATCAAATCTTGATGGACGAAGAGGACGCTGAGAAAAATGCTTTCACAACTCCATGGGGGACCTATTGCTACAGGGTCATGCCATTCGGTCTTAAAAATGTTGGGGCAACTTTCATGAGTGATATGCCCACCATGCTTCATGACATGATGCACAAAGAAATTGAAGTATACGTCAATGACGTAATCATCAAGTCTAAAACACAAGCTGACCATGTTCAAGATCTCAAAAAATTCTTTAAAAGAGTGTAAAGATATAATCTCAAGATTAATCCAGCAAAATGTTCATTTGGAGTTCCATCTGGAAATATTCTAGGTTTTATTGTCAGTAGAAGGGGAATCAAATTGGATCCTTCAAATAAAAAGTCATTCGAGATTTGCCAACCCCGAAAAATGTGACTGAAATCATGAGTCTACTTGGGAGGTTGAACTACATCAGTAGGTTTATTGCTCAACTCACAGCGACATGTGAGCCCATTTTCAAACTTTTTAAAAAGGGTGCTTCTGTCATATAGACGAAGGATTGTAAACAAGATTTTGAAAAAAATCAACGAGTATATGTCCAACCCTCCCATATTGGTCCCACCTGAACCTGATAGGTCTCTCTTTCTATATATTTTTGTGACTGATAATTCCTTTGGGTGTGTTCTTGGTCAACACGATTCCACAGGCATGAAGGAGCAAGCTATCTACTACTTGAGCAAGAAATTCACTAGTTATGAGGTCAAGTACACACTCTTGGCAATGACATGTTGCTCCCTAACTTGGGTAGCTCAAAATTTAAGGCATTACCTTTTGTCCTACACAACTTACCTCATATCTAGGATGAACCCTTTGAAGTACATCTTTCAGAAGCCAGTGCCAACCGACAGATCGCCAAATGGAAAATCTTTCTCACTGAATTTTACATTATATATGTCACTCGGACTACAATGAAAGCTCAAGCTTTAGTAGACCACTTGGTAGAGAATCCTATCGGTGGCGACTATGAACCATTGGATACATATTTTCCAGATGAAGAGATTAACTTAGTTGGAAGTAGATCCAGATGAAAATTAGGTCTGGCAATTATACTTTGATGGAGCAATAAATGCAAAAGGCACAGGGATTGGGGCAATTCTGATATCACCCATAGGGCAGCATTACCCTGCAACAACTAAACTTCGTTTCTTTTGTACAAATAACACAATAGAGTATGAAGCTTGAATCATGGGTTTAAATATGGCAATAGATTTGGGTGTGCAAGAATTGATTGTGTTGGGAGATTCTGATTTGCTTATTCAACAAGCTCAAGGCGAATGGAAAACTCGAGACCTCAAGCTTCTTCCATACAAACAATGTGTAGAAGATCTTAGCAAAAGGTTTAGGTCCATCGATTTTAGATACATCCCCATCTTTCATAATGAATTGGTAGATGTCTTGGCTACTTTGGCTTCAATGCTTCCATATCCAGGAAACACTTGCATCACTCCCTTGAAGATTCAAGTTCAGGAACAATATGGCTATTGTAACACTATTGAAGCAGAATCGGATGGTGAGCCATGGTACCTAGATATCAAGCATTTCTTGCAAACAGGGAAATATCCCAAGCATGCCAATGGAAGCCAAAAAAGAACTATTAGATGTACAGCTAGTGGTTTCCTTTTTAGCGGGGAAGTTTTATATAAACAAACCCCGGATCTAAACTTGTTGAGATGTGTGGATGCCGAAGAAGCCAAGAAGATCATGAATGAAGTACATTCTAGGGTATGTGGACCACACATGAATGGATATGTCCTTGCGAAAAAGATACTCCGAGAAGGATATTACTGGCTTACCATGGAAAGGGATTGCTTTCGCTTTGTGGAAACACATCATGAGTGTCAAATTCATGGTGATCTCATTCATTCACCTCTTTCAGAGTTACACCCCATGGTCGCTCCTTCGGCCTTTGTTGCATGGGGAATGGATGTCATCGAACCAATTCAGCCAAAAGCTTCTAATGGACATCGATTCATTTTGGTCGCAATTTATTACTTTACCAAATGGGAGGAGGCAAGCAACTTCCAAGGCAGTCACTAAGAAGGCGGTCGGGGATTTTGTCCATTAAAACATCATTTGTCGTTTTGGTATCCCAAGAACTATCAGCACAGATAATACTGCAAACCTTTCTAGCAACTTGATGAAGGAGGTAGTTGAGCAATTCAAAATCGTGCATCACAATTCTACTCCATACCGACCAAAAGCCAACGGAGCTGTGGAGGCTGCCAACAAGAATATCAAAATGATTCTTAGGAGGATGGTTCAAGGCACCAGACAATGGCATGAGAAGCTTCCTTTCACACTTTTGGGATATCGCACAATAGTGCGGACTTAGATTGGTGCAACTCCTTATTTGCTGGTAGATTAGACTGAGGTCGTGATACCAACGGAAGTCAAAATTCGATCTCTTCGAAATATTGTCAAGGATGAAATTGAGGATACTGAATGGGTCAAAACCCGACTAGAGCATCTCACATTAATATATAAGAAACGATTGGAATCCGCCTGTTCTGGTCAACTTTATCAGCAAAGGATGGCTCGGGCATACAACAAAAAGGTTCACCCAAGACATTTTAAAGTAGGTCAACTGGTCTTAAAGCATATTCTCCCGCACCAAGAAGAAGCCAAGGGAAAGTTTGCCCCAAATTAGCAAGGTCCATATCTTATCAATGAAGTGTTGTCCAAAGGAGCCTTGCACCTTACTGATGTGGAGGGAAAATCACAGGCATGATTGTTAATGCAAACTCAGTTAAAAGATACAATATCTAATGCGTTCTAGCATGCTATGAAATGTTTCTGGTTGGAAAGACAAAGGCCTCTCATTCAAAAAAAATCCTATCTTTGAATTTTGAACTACATTTGACCTGATTCCGAAAGGACACACATAGGCAACCCTTTGGGGTTTGGTCATACCAAAAAAAAAATCAATATTCTAGTATTTATAGAAAACTGGGGCATTTTTTTTATAAAATGCTATTTTGATAGAATAGTGTCAAATTGTAATTCAGTTTATGATTCTATTCTAGCAACCGATATTTTGACCAACTCTAAGAATGATAGATTCATGTGTCTTGCACGAACAAGAGGATATTAATTATTCTAATGACCTCAGAATTGCCCCTGTCAAAAGAAGATTCATCATTTTGTACTACTAAATTTCGCAACCTCAACACTGAGAAACAAGAAAGGAAAATACTACTTTTACAACTGTGGTATCCATGACAGTTTACGTGCACCTTGACTAATTCATGAAGCACTTTCTACCTCCCCACCAACAAATGTACCAAGTAATTTTGTTCATCTGTCCTGGACTGATGGAATCACCTTTTTTTTTCCTTTGTTGGGATTTAAACATGAAACCTCATGTTCTCAATCAACTTCATTACCACTAGGCCCTTTGGTGCAAAAAAAAATATTCAGTTTCTTTAATATACACAAATATCCCCAAATTATTTGATGTTGGAAATGGATCTTCTAACACCAAAATTTGCAAAAAGTACAACTACCCTCTATAGCACCTTCTCCACCTCCTTCGAACCCTACTCGCACCTAAAATAACCCGTCAAGTCCAAACCTTGTAATAAGGAGAACATTTCTGCATTCTACATAAAACTAGGGCACTGAAAAGAGCAACTTAATTAAGTTGGACTATATAGATTGATATTATGACTGTTCTACCACAAAGTAAAAATCGAGATGAGGACCAAAAGATCATTAAAAATTGTTAAGCTTGTTACGTTGTTAATCTGGTGCTTGGGAACCTCAATTAAGAGAAAACCCATAAAGAGTTGGGATGTTTTACCTCCTTATCAATACATTACACAGGAGTACAGCCAGGTCAGTAGGCAAAAGTGAAGTAAGAGTGCCATTAACCATGCATCCTGTCAAGTTCTTCTTATACTTTTTACCTTTTAAAAAAAAATCACCACTACCATACATTGAATCATGAATTGCTCAAAGGAAATAATATGCGGTTCATGATAAGTGTGTTGGGTATTAGTTGCCCTAAGTTTGTTATCATAAATAGGTTTTTCTTTTTCTTATAAGGAAAACATAAAGTCTTCATATTTGGCTAGTCGTTTTCTTGTAGAAAAAGGTTTAGGACTCTATAAATAAGGGTTTGTTCCTTCTAACATAGTAGCATTCCAACCTCTTTTTATTCCGAGTGAATTGATTGAAGTTGTTTATGTTAGCATGATGAATAATAGAGAATGATTGTATATATTAATGTATAAATTATTGTAATTATAGATATTTGTTATAATAATCATAGAAAATAATAGTGTGATAGAATATCGGATTAGAAGGGATAGCATAACAAATTATAAGGGATTTGAATGGTAAATTTAATGGGATTGAATAACTGATCTTTAGGGATAGGAATAACAGATCTTTAGGGATGTGTAATGTGTTTATACTCTCCATATAAAGGAAAAACTCTCACTTTGAGAGGCAATCAACAAAATCTTGATATGGTATTAGAGTTTATGAATCTGAGATTTGGACTCATTTAGGGCTTTGTTTATATAGATTTAGTGTCCTCAAATGCTTGATCTGTGCCATAAACTGATGAAAAATCCTTGATTTCCAGGTACATGGATTGAGGAACAAAGCAAGGACACTAACATGATAAATAAAGGAACAAAACAAACTGAAAGAATGAAGAAAGGCAAGCCTAGTGATCGCCAAGGTCACTTAGCGAATTGCCGAATGGCTATCTGACTGCCTAAAGTTCTAGTGTGCCAAGTCTTGAGGAAAGAAACCAAGTCGGTGATAGAAATGAGCAGTTGGCGGATCACCGAGTAGCTCTGCGATGCAGTGATAGATTGCCTAAAGTTATAGAACTGAAGGATGCTGAATGATAAGGCGAAAAGGCAATGGAGGAGAGCAAAGGGCGGCTCGCCGAGTGGTTCGGCAAGCCTGACATACTTTGCCGATTGACTCTTCGCATCATATTTTTGGTAACTATAAATACATTTTTGAACATTTAGTTTAGAATTGATCTGGAATTTTTTGAGACATCTAATACGTTATGGTGAAGTTTTGAGCATCTGGAGACAGTTTACTCTAGAGTTTACCTTTGCTTTGAGGGATTGAAGAAATTTTCTTTTGAGAAATTGGAAGTGGGACTTTAAGATTCATCAAATTGGAACATTGTGAAGACAAAATCACTCTTACCCAGTTGATGGATAATCAATTTGGTAACTGTTTTTATCTTTTTATAATGTTTAGCTAAAATCCCAAATTCTTGGGGTGTGATTATGTGATTATGGGCTGATTTAGCTTATGGGTATTTCTAATTGTTAGTTTAAATGCTATTTAAAAGTGAGTTCAATCATTAATTGTTGTTTAATTTATTAATTGTAGTTGTAAATGCAATTTTATATTTGTTTTCTTGGCTTGCTCGAGAGATAGGTTTTAGGACAAAGGTTTTTGATTGATGGTTTGTGGGTATTGGGTTGATCTGGGTTTAGCTCGAGAAAGTAAATCCTAAACCCAATCCCACACATTTAGCTCGAGAGAGTGAATAAATTAAGTTGTGGGCTGCTCTTAATTTGCATGGTTGCTGATGTTCGAGAGAAATCACTTGATTCTAGGTAATTGTTTGAGAGAAAATTACCTTTCTTATAGCCTAGCCTACTCACTAATATCTAGCTATCTACTAATAGTTGCAATTATCGATATGTCTAAATTAGCCCATAATCGATCACATCCTAAGAATCCATCTCATTATTGTTAATTCCAAGTGTTTGTGATCGCTTTTAGCTGATAATCAAAACCGAAACCCCCATTTGACATTCGTGTCACCCCTTGAACAAAGGTATTGGGTTTATCTAGGTTTAGCTCGAGAAAGGAAATCCTAAACCCAATTCGACACATTTAGCTCGAGAGAGTGAATAAGTTAAGGTGTGGGCTGCTCTTAATTTGCATAATTGCTGATGTTCGAGAGAAATCACTTGATTCTGGGTAATTGTTCGAGAGAAAATTACCTTTCTTATAGCCTAGCCTACTCACTAATATCTAGCTATCTACTAATAGTTGCAATTATCGATATGTCTAAATTAGCCCATAATCGATCACATCCTATGAATCCTACTCACAAGTGTTTGTGATTTCTTTTAGTTGATAATCAAAACCAAAACCCCCATTTGACATTCGTGTCACCCCTTGATTTGAATGATGTCTTTATTCGATAATTTTTATTCCTATGGCTGATTTGACCACATTTACACTTCCCAATTGAGTCTGAAACAGGTACCACACCCTGTGGGATTCGACCCCAACTCATTTAGTTGGGTTTTATACTGATTTACGATCGTTGACACTTACAATTTGAAGTAGTGCCTTTGAAAAGTTATTAATCAAAATGGTGCCACTACCGGGGAGTGGTGGTATTTGAAATTCTTTTGGTGAAGTTGAATTGTATTCTTTTTAGTTATAGAAGAATCTACTTACTTTTAGTTGTGGTTTTTGGTGTTGCCTGTTAAAACAGAGGGAATGAGTGTATATGGTAGCAACGACAACCAAGTGGACCACCATTTTACAAAGATGATGATTCTTAGGGATAACTTCCTAGATTTCAAGCACTTGGAGGGTGAGACAACCCATGAGATGTGGCTGAGATTTAAGACATTATTGTTGCAGTGCCCAACTCATGGAATCGCAGATAAGATGCTAATGGACTATTTCTATAGAGGTCTTGGTCTTGTGAACAGAGGAGTGGCTGACCAACTTTCTCCGGGTGGTCTAATGCGACAACCCTATGCAATAATATCCCAACTCCTTGATCGAATGACCAAGACCAACAATGTGCAAGAGAGGGACCAAAATTTAGCCAAAATATTGACCCAGTTGGATCTCTTGGCCAAAAATATCATGTAATTTGAAGTTCTGTACAAAAAGAAAGATAGGTACATTCCTCCTCATGAGCGTAAAAAGCCCATGGATTATGAGGGTGCACAAATAAAAGAGATACTATCACGTATTTTGCACAAAGTTGAAGAACACAAAAAAGTATTGAAAGAGATTATAGAGAATGA